GCTACCTATACAGTGATAATGACCATGAAACATGTTTAGTATTGCGTTATGTTTTAATATAAGATATTTGTTTGATCACTATTGATTGGTTGGCTTGGGTCACATGGATATGGGCGGCACTCATTATAATCCTGTTCACCTGCGTGAGGTGTGTGTGGAAGAGAGGGTGACACAGGGCTGTTGTACTTTTTGTTGACCGCAAATTGAAATGATTGCTCTGATTAATATAACGATGTACATGTCCAAGGAGAATAAGTTGATCATCCCAGTTTTCATTAAACCACATTATTTTGCAACAGAGGTTTTGATCTCAGCAACTACTTTTTTGTAGCGTGTCACACAATATCTAACAGGCCCGGCCTCAGGCTCTCAGCGACTTTGTTTGTTTCCTGCTGTCGCTATAATGACTGTGCCAAAAGGTTAGTAGATGCCTGTAGTAAAGTGTTTCCCATTGTGGTTGAAGGACAGGATTGTAAAACTACAATTTTAAATACATTTAAAGATTATGTATAGCATGTTATTATGCCGCTTGACCAAAGTGTCATCACTTAGTGCAAGACAAAAGAGACCTTCGAACAGCTGAATGTTGTATTAGACATAATGGCAAAGCATGTGTATAGACAGGGGTGCACACAACTTTCTCAGTGAGGTACTCAGATGAGTACCTGGAGTCAGTGTTTGGTACTCCAACTTCTGGCTCCCTTCAAAGTTCCCATGAAGCCCTCTGTATCGCGAATGTCAGCAGGGGGGTTTGCTGTTTTAGCGCAGTGCTGAACAGCAGCCCTGTCTGTGCACACGGAAACCGACTCTGTCGTCTGGTGATCTCACCGCCTTCTGGAAAAGCTTCACAAGTACGTCGGTACGCAAATGCACTTTGTGACACAAGTGACGGTACGCATTTCAGATTGTTGCCGCGCATGCGTACCTGCGTACCACTTATGTGCACCCCTGTGTATAGACACATTCAATTAGCGAATCAGAATCCCCATCAGAAAGCAGTTGCTGTTTGCTGTTCCTTTTGGTCTCTAAAATAATATAATACAATGTAAAATATTTTATATGCAGAGAAAGCTCTTATCAATAATTCAGTGAATTGCCTCTTGACTGAATATAATGTGTGAAGCTCATCCACTCATATTGTATCATTAGCATAAAAACTTGGATATAAACAAAGGGTGATCCACACACTTCATGCAGTCCTTCAACCGCTTTAGTTCCTCCTTTAGTTGATTTGAATAATGCAATGCCTAGAACATTTTACTATGCATATTTCTTGTAGTAATCATAATCTCTGTACTGTTTCGTTTGGTGTGTGTGAAGAATACAACATTGTAAAAGGGATTTTTCTCAGCTAATTCTAATGGGAAGGATCAGTTAGCTTTGACTTATTCATACATACTTTTGCCAATAAGGTACAAGCATTAGTGAGTGGAAATAAAAAGTGTGTATTTTATTCTTAGCTTTAAAATATCGTATTTATAGTAAGAGAAGGGAGGAAATGCATTCTGTTAGTTGAAGATCTTTTAACATGTTTTACAGGTCAGATCATATATTGTGCCCATCGCAAAACATGCTAAGATTTGATTTAGGTGGAGATCAGTGAACACAAATGCTGGTTACGTAAACTCTTACAAACCAGCAGTGGGCGGTTTGTGGAGGTGGATGAGAGATTGTACAATATTGAAATCCAGCAGTTTAGGTGCAATGTTCTCTTCCTTTTTTCATGGAAGTTGAAATCAGAAAACGTTGCTGCTCTTTATGTTCAGTTATTTCCCAGGAATAAAAGTTAGCTACACTTCTGTTATATCAGTTGATAAGCTTGCAATGATATGCAAAACACAGGGAGCTCAGGGCAGGACATTAACATTGATCAAGTCATTACTGTTTAGAAATCCATAAATCCTGACCAGATGTTATGCAGTATCAAGCAGATACAGTATCACTTTTTGTGTTTCATAATCTTGCATGGTTAACAATCCCTTTATAATTCCAATTACAACCTGCTTTGTGCACATATAACTCTTCTTTTGATATCTGGATCAAAAACAATTATTTAAAGCACCAAGATCTGAAAAATTAGACACATCACCCAACATCAGGGGTTCTCAACATGTGTGGTCATGGGATACTGATGAATGAGCTGGCAAAAGGAAGTGGATGGTTTGGGTTTACTTTTAATAAAACAAACAATTATGCATTTAATCTATTAATATTCCAATGTTTCAGACAAATCATGTGCCCCACGAGATCTAAAGTGAACACAAGAAAATGTCCTGCTCCAAAGCATCATTCTGCACAGTGAATGCGGGATGATTGGCTCTTGTCAGATAATAGCCTTGTAAGTTAACCCATGTGATCACATCCTAATTGTTGACTAATCAACTGCTTACAAATCAAGAGTAAGCTTTGATCAAATGTTCCATGGTGCATGGTTCCACGTCTCTTTGCTTTTGAATTATTAGTTAAGGTATGGTATTTCATTTAGCTGCATGGTGTGGTTATCTTATGCTATGCAGAAAAGGGATCTATTCTTGAAATGTTTTCTGGAGCCCTGAAGGAGGAAGAGGAAGCTAACTGACCTTGAAGGCTCATCAGATGCAGTTTTTCACTTGTAATCGCAGGGGGCTTTAACCCATTTACACGCAAACGCATAAGAAACGCAAATGAACCGAATACGATATCAAAAAAGTAGGGCCGGGACTTTAACGCGTTAATTAAGATTAATTAATTACACAAAAATTAATGCGTTAAAAAAATTAACGCATTTTAATCGCACTTATTTTTGCACCGCGGAACGTTTCTCACTGGATGAGTTTCAGGGGTACCGATTATACTGGAGCACCAACTAACGTTCATTACTTCAGACAACAACAAACCACAGTGAACAATAGTCAAACATGAACGAAGAAGCTGATGAGACCGCTTTGGTTGGCCCCGTGGATGGGACATTTTGTTTTAAAAAACGGACGGATGGAAGCGTCAATAAGAGCACGGTTGTTTGCAAATTATGCAAAAAGGAATTCTTATATCACCGCAGCACATCAAGCCTCAAGTATCACCTCAATGCAAAACATATAGCAGCTAGCGTGGAAGCTAGCGTGGACGTTAGCCCGACTCGGAGTACAGTACAAGGACCCACACCCAATTCGCGTTGATAAAACAGTGGCCTATGCAACAGAGAGATTTTATTTTTCATCAGGATATTGGAAGAATAGGAGGGATTGAGGTCAATCACTGGCACTTTTTTTATTTTATTTTAAATGGTACACTTTATGTTGAACTATTTATTACGTTGTTGGTGCAACTGGCACTTTATGTTGAACTGTTTATTGTTTTGGCCAAGGTTATTGAGAGAGTTGGACTGAAATTGATTAGATTTTTTAAATCAACAAGTTTTTAAATCAACAAAGTCTGTTATGGCCTCTGAAGCATCAGAGAGATGTTTTCTAATAGTCAGGGTTTCCAATGTTCTGAATGTACTTGAAAGTATTGTGTTTTACTTAAAAAACAAAGTGTTATAGTTTACAGAAGGTCTACCTACCTATAGGCTACCTGAATCTCTGAAATGTACTATATTCCTAAATATGCTATTGCTACACTTTATGGCAAAAATTGCACTTTTCTGTTGGTCTTGGTTAAGTACCACCTTGAAAAAAAATAAACAATGTTTTGTTGCTTAAGCTTATGTATTCAGTCATTATTCAATGGTATACTAAAATCCATGTGAAAAAAATTGCTTCTCACTGTTCTCAGGTCAAATATTTATATGTGATTAAAAATGCGATTAATTTCGATTAATTAATTACAAAGCCTCTAATTAATTAGATTAATTTTTTTAATCGAGTCCCGGCCCTACAAAAAAGTCTTCCGTTCACATGAGACCGCTCGGGAGCGCTTGAGACGCTGTAGTACATATGCCGGGCCTTTTAAGTGGCGCTGTACTTCCGCACGAGACCGCTTGAAAGCGCTGGAGACGCTGTAGTACATATGCCGGGCCAGTAAGTCAGTAGCTACTGACCATGCTACAGCAGTGAGCAGCAGAGGTGGGGAGAGGTGGGGCTATGGCTTTATCGTTATCTGGAAATGATCGTATAGGCCCTATAGGGCGTACATACGGAGCCGTTTGCCCCCCCAGAGCATTCTGTTTGCAGATCTATCCACCTTGGGACCCGTATTCGTTCGCGGGGTCTGTTTCCGTGTTTCCATTGTGGCCTCGTGTGAACGAACGGGCTATACGAAAGAGAAAAGTAGCGCATACAACCGTTTGTGTACTCGTGTAAACATTACAAGGTGAATCTTTTTTTTGCATGGCTACATATACTAAGACATTTTCCCATGGGATTCAGATTGTTGCGGAATAGCAGACTGCATACAGTATGTGTATTGTGATTTACTTTTCACTTGCCTAGGAAAGAGTGTGTTGATTGATGAGAGTAACTAATGTATCCTGGTTTTTTGTTTATGGATGAGCATGCTAGTGTATTTACATACATTAATGGATTACAAGCTCCTTCTACAGTAATAGTCCTGATAGTTCAGCCTATAAGTAGTCTTTCTCTTTCCCTGCTTGAGCAAGCAGTGATTTACTTTGTTAAGGTGTGACCTCATCATCCTGCCTCTGTGATACCCCACCTCCCCATAACAGCAAGAGCAGTTGGCCCTGTTATCACTCACACACACACACACACACACACACACACACACACACACACGCACACACGCACACACATGAACAAAGAGAACAGCATCAGAGAGGAATGGGCATGGCTTGGAAGATTTTATGATTTTATTTTCAGAGTATAAATGTCTATATCTCAGTGTGTGTGTGTGCGTGCACGCGCGTGTGTGTGCGTTTGCACGTGTATGTGTTTGTGTGTGTGTGTTTGCAGAGCAGAGACAAGACAAGGAGAGAGGGAGAGAAAGCGAAACAGGGGAGACGAAGGGGAGGGAGTGTGGATCATGCATGTGCATTAACTCAGCTCCAGCGGCACAGCAGCAGCAGAAGCAGCAGCAAACAGAAACAGCAGTAGCACAGGAGAGAAATAGAGAGAAAGACAGAAAGGGAGAATTGGAGGGAGGGTAGTAGTCTCAGGCACAGGAACAATAGCTGCAGAGGACTGCTTTCCATCTCCACTAAAAGAACAACGGACGAGTACTAGAAGGAGGAGAGGATGTTCATGATAGTAGTGAGGCAATAACGGAAGAGAAGAGTCACATTGTAGGCACTGAGGACTGGAATCAAGGCTCTTCTCTGCTCTCCATGTTTTTGGGGACTCAACATACCATTGCCTTCGTTTCCAAACCCAGAGGAGGATGTCTGTGTCGGGAAAGAAGGATTTTGACGTGAAGCAGATCCTCAGGCTCCGCTGGCGCTGGTTTAGCCATTCATCCCAAGGTTCGGCTGGCAGTGGAGGCGGAGGCGGTGGAGGGGTGGGTGGGTACATCCAGCAGGATGGCCTGGACCACAGAGGGACGCCTGTCCAGGGCCGGCTGAAAAGCCACTCACGTGAAAGAGGCATTGGAGGACTACGAAAGAATAACAGCCCGGTTCACAGTATTTTGGCACCTACACCAGGGCCCACACCTGTCTATGTCAGAACGGGTCAACAATCATGGCACCATCAGCAAAACACCATTCAGGGTCTCCAGGTCAACGAGGAATCCTCAAAGAGCAGCTCCTCACCGAGCACCACAAGAAAGGAGGACACCATCACTGGCCAGAAAGATGTAAAAAGCAGCACAGAGGAACCTGCAGAGGTGGAGGCCAGAGAGAGGTACGACGGTTAGGAGTCATTTGACTTAGTAGACAGAATCATGCTACATCAGTAACCTTGTGTATTCTTGATTGGCCGAAACCCGATACTGCTATTTTGGTAAGAAGTTGTCTCTTCCAGTTTTGTAAGGAAAGTAAAGCTGCTTCAAAATTATGAATTAATTAACAGTTTTGATGATGTTTTGTTAAAAAAATAGCCCAACACTGCTTGGATGTTGCTTAGTTAGCACATACCAGCCATACTTTAAATCTGTTTAAAATATTTCTGAGACTAAATGCATACATACATATATATATATATAGTATATCTAGAGCCTCTGAACTTCATTCAATATTTACACTTTCATCCTGTCCGTCCATTAATCAAGCAGAATGTAAATACATGCACAGCTCTCATTTTCCAATTTACTCTTGCTCTGTCTGCAGCTGCTCTCATGGCTCACCTGGGGGAAGATCACTCTTATTGTCCACAGCATGTTAGGCAAGGTAGCACCATTTTAATTATTCACCAGACCAAAAGCCAAGGCTTTATCTGTTCCATTGTCTATGTTGTGGTCCAGATGACATGCACTGTATGACTTTGCTTAATTCCTCCAGATTCTTAAGTTTGTACACATTACAATAATGCATTCTTCCATGGAGTTAAAAGCGATAAATAGCTATTGAATCGCATAACCAGGAACTAAAAAGTGTGTGTGTGTGTGTGTGTGTGTGTGTGTGTGTGTGTGTGTGTGTGTGTGTGTGTGTGTGTGTGTGTGTGTGTGTGTGTGTACTAAAAGCACCCCACATCAAGGATGAAAAGCCCAAGTCTCCCTTTTATCTGGTCTGTGACATTCTAAGATGATTGGTCCTTAGGCTTCCCTGTGTGCCTTTGTTTTCATGCACCTGGGGACAATGATAGTGTACCTATCCCTTTATCTTAAAAAGAGCTCACCATGATTAAACAGGTAATTCTGAATACAGACTCTCTGTCTACAGCCAGAAATATGTCAATGTGGATTAAATCAATGCCACGAGCAGTGGACGGTTGAGTTCCCTGAACAGAGCATGAATTATTCTGAGTTAAGATACAGTTTTGGAATCAGCCTGACATTCGGCTCTCAGTGTTGGTATAATTGGCAGATGTTCATGTTTGTGGGTCCCTGTATGTGAAGAATGCATGCATAAAATATGTGCCTCAAGGTAAAAATGTGTAACTCGACAGCTCTCAATGCAGACCTTGAGTTCAAGATGGCCATGTAAAATACAGAACAGCCATTATATTTTGACAATAATACTGAAATATTCAAATGGTTCTTCTCTGGTGGATCATAAATATATCTCGGGTAGACTTGTATTGATATCCATTCATGAATATGATAATCAGCAATGTAATATAACAAACAAAAAGTGTTTTGAATTATTTGAGGATTTTTCCCACCCAAATTGTTAACAATGTCAGAGAAACAAACCCTCTGTTATTCTAAATAACAATGTATAGAATATTGACAGACAGTTCCATCAATTTATCCCTTCATTTAAATAAATACATCGTCCTCTGTACCTATTTTACATAATTATTAAATCAAGAAATGTGCATTTTTCTGTTCATGCAATAGCAGGCTGCCAAATGAGTTTGACCAGGGCTATCAGGGAAGCACATCATTTAATGTGGTGAGATGATATGGGTGTTCAATTAGGTATGTGTATAATGTTAAAGCAGTCATTTCATACCTGTGAAGCACTAGTTTCTGAGAGGTTTGGACAAGCACTGCATTTAGATGTAAAAGATTGAGCTAGTGACTGTGTGATACATCATGGCTTGTATGTTCTTCCACGGCTAAGTAGATGTGTCGATGTCACTGATATATGCACATTCATTTACTCCACCAGCTGGGTGGCCCTATTACGTCTCACATCATAAATCCTTGACATATAATTTGTCACAATCCCTCAGGCAGAATGAAGAAATTAGTTCTGCTGGCTGCGAGTTATACAAAAGTTGTAACCGTTCCTTTGTAGTTGGAAAAATATGTGCCAGTCATTTTGTGTGACGTGCCCCTCAGTGATTAGTATCATTCAATGTCTACCGAAAAATCTGTCCCTCCACTTTATTCCTTTCTTCTATAGATGTGTTTCTCACTTTTGTTATTCATATTCCAGATTGCTGTCAAACTGAACTAACTGGCACATTCAACCAACATATTTCATCCTAATTGGGTGGTTGTACTATTGGATAAAAATACTGTGGTCACAGTGGCTATACATTTAGCTTTGTGCCTGAATTTAAGAAAGTATTCTTCGTATTAGTCGGCTTATTAATCATAAATGTATAAGAAAATGTATATCAGTTCAGAGGTTATTCAGCAGCAGGAAGGGTGTTGGCAACATTACCATTGAGCTTGTGTCTTTTGTGTTATTATTTTTGTTGAAGTTATGTAAGTTTTGTCACACATTCTAAAAACCTGCCTTGATGAGTATTGAAGGAATTTCAAAAGGTCAATTGATGTTGTGGTTTATGCTGATCTACTTATTGTTGCTCTGTTAGCTTTCTCTTGAACTTATTTAAAGGTTTTATAAATAACATTCAGAACATTAATGAAGCAATAAACAACTATTTGCTTTGTAAATATATAGTGGAATATCGGCATGGTTAGCACAGAATGAAGGCACACTTCCTCTGTTATTGTTGTAATACAAGTGTTTATGTTCTTTCTTTATGTAACCGGGTTGGCAGTGCATGCATGTTAGTGCATGTGAGTCCCATCATAGATATACTCTGAATATATTATTTAGCCTATCCAACTATTTACTTCTGACAAACTGGTAGTTATCCACAGAGCTGTTAAATCAAATGTAGTTTAGTAAGCAGGAGATAATACCACGTTGTTTTCCACCCTTGCTCCTAATGCTCTATATTCAAATATATACTGTATATTTGTTGTGTCCTCATGACTATCATCCAAATAACCTCTCCCCATCGTTGACAGAGAATATATGACAGAAGTTTACCTGAATGGAATAGAAACCCTGACCTCTCCCACATAAACACTAACAGAGGATTGAGTCAGCAGACTGTTAGTTTGAATGATATCTCAATTCCCTCTCCACCGCCTTGGAAAAGAAATACCACCACCTCACCCCCTGTCAACAGCAGTAATTCAGATATTTGTTGGATGTCTCATAACACCACATTGCTTACAGGGTCTCGGTCTCCTTGTGACACATCCAGAGGAGGCGTCCTTAAGAGGCTGTAAATTGCAAAATACAGTATATCTGTTGTAATATCAAAATGACACCTTCAGGGATGTAGGAGGTATTGCAATCGCATATAATTGATTCTGAGCATGCTTCAACTTTGCCAAATCAGCATTCTGTGTGCAACAAGGCCATTGCAGATGGAAGATAAAGATCAAACCAGAGGTTTTAGTAACCCCTCCTTATGCTTTTGCAGAAGGCTGTGGACAGAGGTACAGTTTTATTTAATGCTGGACACATTACTAATTTCTGTTCAAATGCAGATCAGTCATCTTTTCCACCCGAATGGACCCAGTTCAAAGCAAATCCCTCACACAGCTTTCTTTGAATGTTACACCGGCACTATGAATAGGGGCTGACTTCTGAGGCACTCACGTTAACTTATTTGCATTGAAGAAGTTTCTTTGAGGCACAGACAACTGTGATCAAGCTGAAAATGTCATAGTTAATCATATCCGACAGCAGAAAAGTGTTCAGTATTTTTTTCTGTAAAATGCATGGTTTGCATATTCAATAACATTTAGATCTGTTGGAGGATTTCAGGGAAATTAATTAAAAAGATGTGGTTTTAGTCACCAAATAAAAATGGCACTTAAGACATTTTTAAATCTGAGTTTTTAACCCTCTAAGCTAGAAAGATTGGGAATCGATATTGTATCTCGAGATCTAAATCTATCTAATACACAGTATAAACCAAATGCATGCAACCAATGCTCCACGGCTTTAATAATATGGATTAAGTTGTTTACCCACTAACATCAAATGTAAATAAATTACAGATCTAACAATGATGACAGACTATGTGAGTAAACTGCCATCAGCAAAGCAGGTAGAAGCTATCTGCTAAGATCTGCACATTTTTCACTTAGATGACGCCCACAACACACACACACACACACACACACACACACACACACACACACACACACACACACACACTTTAAATCACATCTTCAAGCATTATGATGCAGAGCTCAGCATTTTTTTCAAAGTATATCTGTAAAGCCCCTATCACACTGTCCCGAAATTGACACCACATGGACACACGAATATGGAATTGTGAATTTCGCATGAAGATGGCCCCGAACCACACACGAAGGCAACATTTACATTACTGTACATTTAAGACATACAACTGCAACGAAAGTAGCAAAAACAATTACCGTATGTTAAAGTACTATGATACTGTACTGATATGTTCAGACTTTGTTCTTTACTTTCTCCGTCTTTATATGTAGAATATATTAAGTTTTCTCCATCATGTTGTTTCCATAGCAACAACAACTTCCTGTCAACTCGCCTTCAAAAATAAAAGCATCTAAATAAAACAGGAAGTTAACCTAAATTACATTTAAGACATACAACTGCAACAAAAGTAACAAAAACAATGTGATATCCTTTTCAGTTTCACAGAACACAAATTGGGTTATTTACATAATATGTTTTCATGATTTTGTTGTGCAATAAAACAACCAGAAAAAGGATAAAGGAAATGTTCAAATTCGGCTCTGATCGTAACAACATCGAGCCATTCGTGAGGGCATCTTAAGCCATCGTATGACCGCCGGTGGAGTTTCTCAGGCTCCGGCAGCAACTTCGTGAGCGGTGGCAAAATCTTTGGCATGCCAAAAAATTGCCGAAGGACCTTGCGAAGGTTAATTTTCGCGTTGAATTTGTGTGTCCATTTTGCCGGGGCAAAAAATGCCTGATGGCACCGATGATCAGACGAAGATGACATGATTTGAAAAGATGCCCTCACGCTGGCCTTACGAAGGGCAAAAAGATTCAACACGAAAATGAACCTTCGCAAGGTCCTTCGGCAATTGTTTGGCATGCCAAAGATTTTGCCACCGCTCACAAAGTTGCTGCCAGAGCCTGAGAAACGATGGCTTAAGATGCCCTCACAAATGAGTTCACACACACGATATTTCCTTTATCGTGTTTCCATCTGGTGTCAATTTCGGGACAGTGTGACACAGGCTTAAACAATGTCATTATTGAAATAAGATTTACCAACTCATTAAAACGTACCACTCCAATCCCAGTGTTAATATTCTGTGTTTAGCAACATTCAATTATAATCTCTATTTTGAAATATGTTCATCTACTGGCACATTATTCCTCAGTGGCTTCAAGCAGATATTTCTCTTAAGTTTTCAAGTCAATTATGTAAATGTTCATTATTAAACGGACATACTTTGACAGATGATTTTCATTTTTAAATATGTAAGATGTAACTCCTCTTGCAGTTTCTTAATATTCAAAACATCAATTAGTATGCCACCTGAGATTTTCATTAGCTTTTTGCAGAAATTCTGCTGACATGACTTCTCCACCATCACTTTTCTCTTTACAACGTGTGCGGTTTTGGTGAAAGCTGTAAGAAGGCAATATTTCATTTCTGTTAATAGCAGTGTCAATTTTCCACTGAAGTCTCTCACATAAAGAGCCCAGAGGCCACATTCAGAGCAGATTTCAAAAGACGTGGATCCCATATGCTGCTTCATTTCCTCCATCATTATCAATATTAAGCATGTCCGGTATTACAATGGAATGAGAAGAAGGAAGTCTGTTGCGAAGCCTCAGTGAGATAGTAAAGTGCAGATAGAAAAATCTATTTCTGTACAGAGTTATCATCTCAGCCTTACTGCCGGGATCAAGCTATTACAGTCAGTGTATATATTTCTCTCTACACAAAGCTGAATGACAGTAATACAGACTGTCAAAGCACAGAGGCATATTGAGATCTCATGGAATATATAGACTTGGCACATGCTGCATGAGGCTTTGTTGGAGTTGTTAGATTCTCAACCCAACCCAAGCTACTCAGCAGCCTTTAGGGGCAAATGGCTGTTATAATCCATTTTGAAAGAGACATTTCCCATTGGACCCAGGCAGGCACGACTTTCCCTCTTGTAAAGGGATGGAATTGACATTAGTTGGAATAAGACTGAGATTTTCAGCAACATGTCTAACTCATAACCTTTACAGCTACAGGCTAATCCTCGCTAACCAAAGCGCATCAGGAATTGTCCGACTAGGATGACAGTTTTGACCCATCGAGATGTCAGAATGATTATAGGAACACAAACATGATATTTAATATGCTGTATAACTCATATATTATTTTTAATGAGTGTTGTATCTTCACCTGAAAAGCTTGTTAGTTTTTTTTTTTAAATGAATATGTTTTTCTCAGATCCAATTTGACACATTGTGGTGTGATAACTTCAGGAAGGTGTGAGGAGATAATGACAAGACTTCAGGTGACATGTGTTCAGTCAAGGAAGAAAACGTCACATGTACTGTAGGGTGAGGAGGGATGAAGCCCCCTATTTTATTCTATTGATGCATATAGGCAATTTTACTATTGTTCTAATCTATAATGTTCTACAAATGCAGGTTTGCACATTGAATGTTTGTAGATAACAAAATAAATCTACAGGCCTTGTTAGGGTGTGTGACTCTGTGAATTGCTCAGTATTATGTGATGTACAGCAATGTACCTACAGCAGTTTCTCTGGAGTAAGGTGTTCTGGGGCTTTAGTGCCTTAATAAAATTGGGCTATACCTCTGATGATCCAACCCTCTACTGAAAGTGAAATATATCCCTCAGAGAAATTTACTGCTCCCTAGAATGTGATACCAAAGCAATTAGTGTCGGAGAGATTGGTAGGCATGAAAAATCCTTACAGCATGCCTTGGAGCCAATACAAAGGCAATGCATCTCAGTTTTACGGCCCCATTGCTTATTCAGTCTTGTTTGGTGTTCCTCTCCAAGACTTCAGAGTCAGTGGGGAATTATCGTGACAGAGCAATAAATTACTCTTGCATTTAGCATAAAGTCTCCCAATAAAGGTTAGACTATAGGATTCTGCAGTGACCGGGGGGCAGTATAAACAAATCCCCAAGGGAAAATGTTGCTTTTGGTAATCAAAGAGAAGAAATCACACACCAGGCTAAAAACGTTATAATAGTGTCTTAATCAGGATATCAATAAGGGCCATCACTCCCTTACACCCCTCCTGTGTTATCAATCTTTGTATGCGCCAATATATTGTGCAGCCAAGCATGACAGGTTTTCATTTCATTCTATCGACAAATCTGTAACTTTGCTAGTTTATGCAGCTCTCATGTTGGTGCATAACTGGTAATGAGCGGGGATATTAAGTGTTGATTTAAATAGCTGTGACTTTTTTTTTCCTTGAGCAAAATCAGTCTTGAAACAGCCGCAGGACCGTGAGATGACAGTAAATTCCCCCGGAGAGGCAGCTTGGGTCTGTTTATGTAGCGTAACAAACAACCCTAAATGTCAATGAGTGGACTTGCTCTGTGAAGGACACCAAAGTGTCTGGGCTGCATTATTTGCCACGTGTCTGTGGGATTACTTGGGTGCCTGTAGAGCCGCATGTAATCTAGCAGCCTGTAGGGACAGGGACTCAGCCTCAACGAAATGCTGTAAGAAACAGGCTTGTTCACTTGTTAAGTCCCTGTCTTTGGAAAGCCAACGTGCACACACAGATATATAGATGCACACAAAGGCATACACACATTACAGACACAGTGACTTTCTGTCTGGAAAGCTGTTGCATAGATTGGGAAGCTCGCTTGTCCCATTGGACTGCAGTGCTCAGTTATCGACTTATGTATGCAGTTGTGTCCATAACAGTTTTAATTTCAGCTTAAGTGGCAAGAAAGCTGCAGATACACCTCAGGGAGTAGAGTGCGATGTGTTTGACTAGGCCATTTTGTGTCCTCAATAATATGTTGCTTATCTTGCTTCGTACAGCTTTTTTATTTTATTTTTTTTATTAATGTTATATTTATGATAGGGAGGACAGGGAGAGGAAACAAAAGTTGGTTCAATTAATTAGTCCTCCTAAATTAAATGTCTTTGTTATTTCACCTAAAGTGTCCGATCTTTTCTCTTTGTTTTTGTCCGCATTATGTGAAGTCCTCGTCAAGTGAAGTCATGCTGACGACTAATTCTTACATATGTCTATTTCCAAAATAAAAAATAAGAGGAAAGCTCATTGCAACAAAACCTTTTAAGCAATGTAAGTAAATATTCATGCTTTAGTGCATTGTTTTAGCCTTAAACCATCTCTCTTCTCTTCCACAGGTTGGCCCTGAGCACCTTCTCCAAAATGAACACCAACTCCTCGGATGAGTTTTTCCAGGCCACAAATCATGCAGAACAGACTTTCCGTAAGATGGAAACCTACCTCCAGCACAAGCAGCTGTGTGATGTTCTCTTGATAGCAGGGGATCATAAGATACCCGCTCACAGGTTGGTGTTTGCGCTTCAGTCCTCTTTGATTTCATTAATTACACTGCATCGGTTTAGTTAAGAGATACAGAAGCTCGTCTGAATTCACTTCATTAGGTTGCAGATGCGAGTGCCCAGGATTTGGTCTGGACCAGATTTCGCATTTGTAAAAATATATTATGTCAGTCCAGATTCATCTCAGGAATAATCGAATAATCTTTAAAATGCAAGAGCAAGATTCTTCAGATGTTTAAGTGACAGGAAAGATATGCATACTCTATGCCCACTGGTTGGCATCTAAATCATGCACACTGCTTTAATCTAATTACACCACTGCACTTCCTCATTTCCACGTTACAATTGTGCAGTGGAGGAGCAGTGTGATTCAATACATGAGTATGTCAATATTGAGGCATCAAGCCCTCGGTTGGCAGAATTGAACATATCGCATGACATCCCCTGAATGCAGAGAGGCATCACGTTCACTGAGTGCATCTTTTTGTGTACGTCTTTCTACCGGCACATTTTGTTAGTTCATCAAGACAGATTTATAAAACAGAAACCAGAATACTCCACAGAGAGGAATTATTAGGGACTGACCTATAGTCAGTTCTCTGTCTACCGGTTCAATGTGGATTTATATTTGTAAACCAGGTAAAGCAGGAACGGTGTGTAGACAGCCAAAATAATGCAGGATGAACCACAAATATTGAAATGTAGATGTCGATTGCTGGACTGTCCTTTCCTTTTATCGCAGTGTGATCTCTGCTTCTCTTCATGATCAACCATTGTGTTGTATGAGACAAATGAGAAAACATAATTAGGAGTTGGAGCAGAGTAACTATTAGCAACATTAAGTCAATGAGATAACTTAATTCATCATACACTGAACGAGTTGAATGTGGTGGGAACAATACCAAAAATGCTGCAAGCACAGAAGCAGAATAAATCAATTTAGGAAACAGTTACACATGAAAATACACAGAACATTGTAGCCGAATATACTGGAAAGATATACCCTTTTTTGAGGAAACACAATGATTGATTCACTTACCCTTTAAACAATTCTGCATTCAGATCTCACTTACGGTATATAGTCAGGCCAAGTAATGTACAGTACACAAGAGCAATAATTCACTGTGTTTCATTTATGGCAGACTGGTGCTGAGTGCTGTGTCGGACTACTTTGCTGCTATGTTCACCAGCGATGTGAGAGAGGCAAAGCAGGAGGAGATCAAGATGGAGGGAGTCGATCCAGAAGCCCTCAGGTCCCTGGTTCATTTCGCCTATACCGGTGAGTGCTCGTAAACACGTTCACTAGCTCTTGTAAGTAGTTATGAGCCTTCTGAAATCTAGCATGATTAAAATGGATCAATAAGGCAATTCACCACTGGGCTTACTGACTGCAGCAATCCAACAGTGTTGTTTTGTTTACTAGACAAATCCCCTTTGATAAGTCTGTTGTTGGGAATATCCAAACCCCCATTTTCTTTATTCTATAATAGGGTAAAATAACACAATGTTGTTGATCCAGTATGAGATGTTAATAATTATCTCCACAATGTGTTTGTCCTTACGGCTACCACCCGTCATGACATAAAAATATATTCTTCGTGTCCTGACATTGCAGGTGTCCTTGAGCTGAAAGAGGAGACCATTGAGAGTTTATTGGCGGCAGCTTGCCTCCTCCAGCTTTCACAAGTCATCCAGGTTTGCTGTAACTTCCTGATGAAACAGCTTCATCCCTCCAATTGCCTGGGAATACGCTCCTTTGCAGACGCCCAGGGCTGCGTGGACCTGCTCAATGTGGCTCACAACTACACCACGGTAAAAGAGCGAGTAGTACTAGAACATATTTATATGGCTGGGTGGGCTGAATTATTTATTTTGTAACTACAGTTTGCACACTGAAAGTGGCTATGTTTTGCATTACTACACAATAGCTGTGGCAATGGAAGCTTGAACATTAAAAAGATTATCTAAACATGTAGTTTAATCAACGCTATATCCACTTTCACAGGACAGACAATCACCATTGTAGTGAATACAAAATGAACTCTTATTAACATAATGTAAGAAGCTGAGGATTCAATTTAATATTTGTTTCTAATTTAAATGTATAGTAGCCTGTGTGATATTAGCATTATGTTGTCAATGACGTCAGGTTTTGGTATAATGTACATAACAATTATTGTGACCATAGCTAGGCTAGCTAAGTCAAATAACATGTCATGTTATTTAATGTTATTTAAAACATGTCAACCTGTAAAAGAATGACATATTTGTTTCAGGGTTATTTATTTAATATAATTTGAGTAGAGAAACGGAGGACGTCCACATTTGAATAGAGATTGAAAATGTTCATGCTTTCACTTTATCTAATTTGGTTATGTGGCTGTCAGTACCAGATACCGCTACGCTTCACATTGATTAGTGCACTGCCAGACCTAAGAAATTGCAATTTTTATATATATGCCTGCAAAGAGTATTTGCATTGGATTAAGATTGGTGCACACATTTGTCAGATAACGTCTTGCTGGTCATGCAGAAGTGACAGCATGAGGCAGGCGTTATCTCCTAGAGGACATCTGCTCAGTCTGTTTACATAGCCCCCATCCAGGACCAGGAGGTTAATCTAATCATCAAACTGCACAAGAGGGCCAACTTCCTGTTCAATCACTTGTGTAATGAGCAGCGAGAGCTGTGGGCTTCCTGGAAGTCCGTTCTCCGGGTTGTGAGTGGAGCAAGTTTTGTTTGGATAAGCTTGTTTTTCACAGTTAGGCACAGTTGAGATCCGCCTCAGACGTCCTTTTCCTCTATGAAATAGTAGCCATTTTTATATTGCAGTAGATAAAACTGTATTGTTTTATTTTTGGGATTAAAGTATTTTCTTTTAACAATAAAACATGTTTATGTTACATGTCACAATAAATACCACAGAAATCGGATGTTATAAAATGAATCTCAATTAAGAAAAATATTAGAATATAGCAATCTGACTCTGCCAGGCCTTGCAAATTGTCTGGTAATCAAAATGTTCTTGAGCAGTAATTATGCTGCCTCACTCCCCTTAACATCAGCGTTCCTCCTCAGAAGACACTGTTATTACAGAATTACTAATTTACATCAATTAGTTTCCTATCCCGCTGATCTTGTTTTCCAAGCAGTTTACCACCAATGAGTTTGCCAGCATCGGAAAACACGTCTTTTTAAATGTTTATGAAACACTCTGTTGAGCTTTCAATTTGGTTGTCAGCTGTTCAGTGGTAATCACAAATAATTGGTCTGAAGTAACGTCAAAGAGTTGGATGGCATTTCTCTGTCCTTCTTGCCACAACAGATCAATAGCTGTCCCTCATTTCATTAGGGCTGTTTCTGTTAAGCTCTTAAAACCTGCTCTCATAATAGATTGCTGTAATTTGTTGCAAGTTGATGATCAATAGCGTCCATGTTTTTTCGTAATTGTTGAGCATCCAGTCTAAGTTATTCAGGCGGCTTAATATTTAATGCTTAGCTGCCTCGTTAAAAGAGGGAAATCACTGCGCGATTATGGCATGGATTGCTCTGTATTTCTTTCATCTGTTTTAATGTGGAATATAACATATGCAGCAGAAGCAGGAGGGTGTTTTATATAGCATCATTTTAATGGAGCTGCCGTGAGACAATGTCCTTGAAGAGGTAGCCATGCAGCGTTGTAATGTCGCCTGGGCTGCTGGCCAGTAAATGGAAGATCAATCTTAAGGCAGGCAATAGAAACCGTGCAGCTTCTACAAAACTTAAATCTGGACACTGTCTGTGTGTCATGGTAATGTTGGGGAGCAATGCCTTTTTGTTTCTCATCAAAAGGCTTAATGGTTTCATCTACAATAAGCAGCACAAATGTTGTGTAAGCTTATAAAGAGGCTCTTTCTGGAGGTGTTTTATGCCAGATTGATTTGAAGCCCGCTGCTATGTTGATTCTTTTATATAGTGAGCCAGCTGAGTGTAAAAATGTGTAAGAGATAGAGTGTATTTCATCAATGTAATCTGTGGGGCCGCAACCAACTGACAATAATTTTCTCCATTAAGAGATTAATTGTTTGGTCAGTGTTACTCAGTGTTTGCCAAGCACGAAGATAGGGTCCTTAAATTACTTGTGTAATTTAGATATCTTACTGTCATTAAGTAATAACAAAACTAGAAAATAATAGCTTTTTTATCCATAAAAAGATATTCAAACTGAGGAATCAAATATTAGAATATTTGGCCATTAATGTAATGGTTGACAACTCATCTATTTATCTTTACAGCTGAAGTGAGTTATATGTATATTAAATCATTGATAGATACCTCTAAATTTGCTCTCTCAATCTATTTGCATTATTTTTATTTATTGACTCTGTTCTTGTTCCATTTGGTCCTCACACCCGCACGCACGCACGCACACGCTGCACCGAGCATACTCCCTGGCTAATGACTGATTATTATCTTCCTCCTACACGTCTCCTCTGTGTACCAGGAACACTTCCTGGAGGTCATTCAGAACCAGGAGTTTCTGCTGCTCCCCACGGCTGAGATTATTAAGCTGCTTTCCAGCGATGACATCAACGTCCCCGATGAGGAGACCATCTTCCAGGCTTTGATGATGTGGGTGCGGTATGAGGTCCAGCAGCGACAAAAAGACCTCGGTATGCTGCTCGCCTTCATCCGTCTGCCTCTTCTTCCTCCACAGGTGAGATAACATGGACAGGGGTAGAGGTGGTGTCTAGGAAAATGTATGATTTGTCGATAGGAAAAAAGGCCCCTATAAAGCATGACATAGTCAAATGTTCAAAATCCAAAGATAAGTTTACTATCATTGCAAATTTAAAATGTCGGAACCAGGCAATACAAAATTGCATTTTAGTTTGAAAGTCAATCTACTAAATGATGAATTGACTACTTGTTTCAGCTATAAGTCACATACATTAACTGAAAGATAACCACCCAGTTCACATCCAATTGACCACTGTAAGGCCGTGAACTACCGTATTGTCAATAATCATTTTGTTTAGTGGTTGTACAAAAAAATTCTACTCTCAATGATAAATCAAACTGACAGTATGACAGCTAAACATAATTTTTGATATGCATTACCAGACTTTAAATTGCTTGCTTATGTTTGATTTATTATGGTTTCAAGCACAGCAACTCAAGTTTTATAACAGCTGTATATCAGAAGATAAGAAGCATTTACAACTTAATTTACATACCATCCAACCCAGATAAGCAATATTTTCCAGATCAGATTTTCAGACCTTATTTAAATGATTGCTGCTTTATTTTCACTGACGGACTTCCAAGACTAATTATGCACATGTTTTTCACTCTCACTTTATATTGGTGAAATTAAAAAATCACCCTCAACATTATTCTCAACACAACTATGAAGTGAATTATTTTTATAAATAACACAAATAAGTGGTAAATATTATCCAGCACAGAAGTTATCTCATAAATTGTCTTGGGAGATTTTGTCGGTTGTGAGGCAAATAAACATCAGAAATAATCAATCTGATTTTCATAACCGTTACTGTAGAAACTGAAAAGATGAGCCGCGTAATTCCACATAACTTGCAGGCATATCAAGATCCATAGTTTTATAAAAAACATGATATGAGGGTTGAAACATTAAATAAAACCAAATAAAAAAAGTGTTCTCTTGTCAAAGAAAAGCTACAATCGCGTGGGTTCAATAGTAAATAGAGGTAAGATGTTTAAAGAAGCCCTATTATACACATGTTCAGGTTTCATAATTGTTTACTGTGAATCTACTGTGACATGTTGTCATGCTTTATTGTTCAAAAAGTACTTTATTCCTTTTTCTCCTTTTTTGAGAATGTAGCCTATTGATGTGATTTCTTGAATTGTAGCTCCTTGCAGATCTGGAAAACAACAAGATGTTCTCTGATGATCTGGAATGCCAAAAGCTTCTGATGGAAGCCATGAAGTACCATCTCCTGCCTGAGAGACGTCCGATGTTTCAGAGCCCAAGAACCAAACCTAGGAAGTCCACTGTGGGCGCACTTTACGCTGTAGGAGGGATGGATTCTACCAAAGGTACATGGCCCGTATGCTCAAGGTATCAATACACAAGATTGTACTTGACTTAATTGTATTACTTGCTGTGGTTTTAGGCTCCACCACTATAGAGAAGTATGACCTGCGGACTAACACGTGGGTCCAAGTTGGAGTAATGAACGGACGCCGGCTGCAGTTTGGTGTAGCAGTAATAGACAACAAGCTGTACGTGGTCGGAGGGAGGGATGGACTCAAGACGTCCAACATGGTGGAGTGCTACAATCCTATCAATAAAGTGTGGTCCACCATGCCACCGATGTCAACACACAGACATGGACTTGGTAAGTGTGTCCAATGAGATAAATGTAGCTCAAATTACTTCATTTAACAGTAATAGACATATATCGTAATAGCTCGATAATTATATGCTCTTCTATCGATAGAGTATAGAGTGGTGCAGGGATGACATATTTACCCAGAAGTAAGCTGCGCATGGGTTCCTTCGACAAAAAAGCAATGGGATTTCTCCATAGGATTTTGGAAAATAGCTCGAAATAAGGTCTGTGGAAAACAAACCTGTTTGATAAATGCAAGTTTTGTTCAGCCGGATAATATCCACATGTCTACCCTACTTTTATAATGTTCTAATCATAAATCTAATGGCCAGAAGTAAAATGCTAACGTTATGCTATAAACAAACTACAGTAGGGTCGCACGACTTCAACGTCACGACAACTTAAGATCGATATTCAAAAATACTGATTCTAAATTGTACAAGTTGAAGCGTTTGTTTTAACAGTTTGCAAGAGCACAGGTACTTGCTTTCAAGCAGAAGAGGGGCAAACAAACTTAGCGGGAGTGTTTACGTGTTCGGCGTAATGACGTACAACGTCCTCAACAACTTCTGTAGTCCTATTCAGCCACTTGTTAACAACCATCGTTTTTCAGACACGTAAACTCTTCAAAAATCACCAGTGGGGTCAATGCTGATGTATTTAATGTCGTAGAACAAAACGTGATCCGTTGTGTCAACCACAGACCTTATTTCGAGCTATTTTCCAAAATCCTATGGAGAAATCCCATTGACTCTGAGACGATGGAACCGGTAGTGGTCGAATGCTAACTCACTTCCGGGTTTTAGGACTTGACACTGCACCACTCATTAGGTGATCTTGAAAAAGAAAAGGGCACATTCTTTCATAATCTATTGATTAAAGACATAACAAAATTACTTTGCCATTCCAAAACATATAGTCACTCATCAACCATTTTAAAAAGTACAACAACAATTGGACACTCTAATGGCAAATACAGTATGTCAGTAGAGTTGCAACTAAATATTGGTTAGTCTTCTCATATCAATGTTTTAATCAAATGTATTGATGAACAACTCCACCGTAGCACCATGTGTTAAGAAAACGATTTCCAAGTCCTCCATTTTTCAATGTTTTTCACACTTCCATTTATTATTGTGTGTTTGTTTTTGTCATACTTAAGCCAAATGTATTTTTACTTTGTTATTAGGTTTTTTTATGATGTATAAGCTTGGTCAGGCAACCTGGTGTTAGGAAAAACCAACAACTGCAGGATGCATGCTCAGGAGGGTCACAGCAGGCGTGCTGTAGAAAATAATCATACATTTCTTTTTGAGATACGCAGACCTTTGATATCTTCACATTCACTTATCAAAGCTGGGCATGCTGTGCTGGCTCTGCTCCTCTTTACCCTTCCCTGCCCAATAAATCTCATATCAGAAGCATTTTGATTCACAGTTGAAACAGGTCTTGGTGACAGAACAGGAAGATCTTGTCAAAGAGTTCATCCCGCTCACCCACTGTGGTCGGACATATCAGCCAGCCCAGGAGATCACACTGTACAGATTACCTCTGTTGTCTTTGATCCTCCCCGTAGCAAATGTCTCTTGCTGCTTTGCCTTTGACATGCATATTTTCAGTCTGAATACATTTAAGCTTTTCTGTCTACCAACATCTCTGCCCAACCATTTCATGCTGCGAGCATTATCATTAAGGACAAGTCAAAGTATTTATTTGTATTCCAAAGCCACTAGTCGGCAATAAAAAGGAGTTTAACCACGACAATTGCTTTTGTCTGACAGTGTTTATGTCATTCGAGGTTTCTTGAATGCGGTCTTGCCCTTATGTTCCTTCAAACATAATTGAACTCTCACCAAAGGAAATAAGGGTGGTAATATAAAAATCCATTGTGTAAAACATCCTGTGCAATGTTGCTGGGTGAAAACGCTTTCCACTGTGACTTGGGAATGAGAAAGAACCATGCAGTTTTATAGTCTTCCTGTTTTTCTGAATGCAGTCGGTCAGCTACATGACTCACTCTGCCCAAATCTAAAATGAGAAATGTACCTCTGTCGCAGCTCTTTCTAAGAACTGTTGAAAGAAGACAAGAGTTTGGTTTGGTAATTTAATTTAGATCATCCTATACAAATACATACAGTATATTAATACACAAAATGTAACAATATTAATAGATGTCATAAGTGTTCAAGAGGATTGTTTTACTTCTTTACTAAATCAAAATGTATTTTGGTCATTTGTATCTCTTGTTTCTATTTGTGTAGGTATAGCTGTGCTAGAGGGCCCCATGTATGCTGTGGGAGGCCACGACGGCTGGAGCTACCTCAACACGGTGGAGCGCTGGGACCCGCAGGCCAGACAGTGGAACTACGTGGCCAGCATGTCGACACCACGGAGCACCATGGGAGTCACAGCACTCAATGGAAAGTAAGTAACTTAATCGCACCTACAGCCCTGCAGTCATTTTAATGCTTAATAAAATGTTCAACCTCACACTATGAGGAAAAGTATATTGTCGTATTTCTGTGTCTTTGAAATATATTGGATCCTTCGGTCGATCGAGGTCACTGGCATCTGTAAAGCCACAACCAGCAGTGAAGTGGTGCAGGGTCTGCTTTCATAAAGGTTTTCCTTTTTAAATGAAGAAAAGATGAATGTTACAGTGTTGAAGAACAAAAGACTCCCCCACACTCTCCTCTTCACTGCATCAGGTTATATTCAGTGAGTTCTGCTCTTCCACATAACAATGGTAACATATGAAAGCAAATTGTGTATAGAATAGAATACAAATAAAATATTCTGAAAGTTGATTTGCGGACTGTTTGAAATATAAAATAAACATGAACAATAAATTGCCTTGTGAAATGGTCAGCAGAAACGTAACTTGAAATGAATCATGCAAAAACCACAGGCATGGTTATGTAACTTATAGTGCACTGGTCCAGGAAAAGCTGTTCAGCATTAGTGCAGTTGTACTTTGACAACATTACACATCTTGAATGCAAAATCAACCCTTGTGGTCTGTGTGAGGTAAACTACAACGTGGCTGCAGTAGTGAGCAGCACACAGCGAGGATCTCTGAGGTAATTCATACAGTGTAATTTAGACTCTATAAAAACACTTTGTATATTTGAATGAACTAAATGCCTGACAACATTATTTGAAAGTAAATTAAGCAAAGAAAAGACCGACTCCCAGACACATTTAAATATGTTTCTGTGCCGAAGGAGAAAAAGAGGCTGCTGCTCTGCTACATCCAGTATTCAGTGTAAAAGTCGATGCTGAGTTATTTCTGCAACTAGGTCAAAAATAGACAAAAAGGAAGCTGTTTCCCTAGCCTCTACTTTCTAGCTGTTGGGCCTGTGAGCTACAAGCACTAAAAACATTGATGTGATCTCTCTGGGAGAGAACACTCTCAAGGAAAGGGCCTTTGAAAAATGGCTTTTACGACTAACTCCTCTGACAGAATCTGTCATGTTATCATTGTTTTGTCATGCTTTTCTTTTTGAAACCTCTGATGTGAGCTACTCCTGTCAGATCGAGCAGTACTTGATGCCTGATGTCAGGGATTTTTAACTCATTTTGTTATATTGCTCAGATTGTTTGCAGTAGGTGGTCGGGACGGCAGCTCGTGTCTGAGGTCCATGGAGTGCTTCGATCCGCACACCAACAAGTGGAGTATGTGTGCTCCCATGGCCAAAAGGCGAGGAGGAGTGGGTGTGGCAACATACAACAACTTCCTGTATGCCGTAGGCGGACACGACGCCCCCGCTTCTAACCACTGTTCCAGACTCTCCGATTGTGTTGAAAGGTCTTTGAATGCTTCTTCTCTGGAGAAAACACACACACATGTTTTGTAAGAGGTTTTGGATTGCTGTTGAATTCAGTCATGGGTGCGGACCAGGCTGTAGAACAAAAGGGAGACAAACTGCTCCTGATCCCCACCCTTTTCCTGCATTTTAAGACACGTCTGTGTTATACTACTACAATACTCAATTGAACAGATCATAGTTTCCACACATTGTTTTATAACATATTATCTGGCACCATCTGGTGGCCATAATACCCCCCTGAACCCGAATGGGATGTGACTGTCGAGAGCACCTCCAGTCGTTATTTCATTATAAGAATCCAACTCCATTGTTCTTATTAGACCTCATGTTGGTGTGCTTACCATTATTTGTATATTCGAAGCACAAGATACACTACTTCTGCAATAATCCATCATTATTTCGAGAAACGAGAAAACCCCTACATATACAGTACATACATACATTTAAAAACGTTTTTGTAGGATAATACACAATTGTTCACTTTGCACTATATGCTGTTATACAATCATTTACTTCAACTTCACTCCTTTCAAAAAACACATGGTTAAAGTAGACACATATCTCTTCAGCAGTGCCTTTTTTTCTGATCTTTAAAACAGGGATTTTACTCACAGGAAGCATTGGGGATATTTTGTATTGAGATTTTTAGTTGATTAGCCCCTTAGGATAAAGCTGGACCAATAGACGTTTTTTCACCGCCCTCTGGCTGTGAGAGGTATCGCCACAAAAAAGACACCAGAGCAACAGAGAAGCAGCTATCTCCAGATAAAAAAAAAAGCTGAGTTCAGAGGAAGGATGAAATAATAACAATCCAAAGTAAGATGTAATGAGAGCGCTCCTGGGGTTGGAGGAGACACAGACATCTCACCTGCAGGCATTTGTGCTCCAGCATGGGAAAGTCGCCACAGACACCAGACACCATAATTCCTTCGTTGTATCAAATTATACAGAGAGCTCTCCCTCCCGGCAACAGGCTGCATAAGCATTGTGTGAATGTGTTAAGCAAGGTCTTCATTGTAACAAATGTTAATTTATCTAAAAGCCCCCCCACTACAGCTTTAATGTCTGACTGTCTCCAAGATCAGTGTTAAACACTTTTACCCTAACCCTAACACTCACTTTTAAATGCAAATATTTTAGTTAGTAAAACAAATCAGAGATATATAATATTGAATCATTTTGAGTTTAATGGTGCCTTGAGTCGCTGTTACATATTATTACATCGGACAGTGTTTTTGTTGTGGCATTTGGTGTTTCTATTTAAAAATGTCCTAATTACAGATACATTTCTTCTGTCATATCATTAGTTGAATTGTTTCGCTTAAAACTGTTTTATAAATATAAATGACTTCATTACCAACAAGTTATTGAAGAGGAATCATATAAATTATCATACTTTCCCTCAACAGCATGGTAAAGAGAATCTCTCTGAGGACCCAGCAGCCACCAGCATCTGTCCAAAAGACCATTTGAGCTTTTAAGTAAACAATCTGGCTCTCTATTTGTGCTAAAAAAAGAGTTGCCGCCAGTGACCATTCAGACATCTGTGATTAAAGAGTGGGAATATAAGGATGTTTAAATTGGTGGGGAAGGGACACTGTTTCCTCTTGAGATTAATGCTGATACGGTTAATCTTTTAGACCACATATTTAAACTTTGAATAACCTTTAGGGCTTTTTGATGTACGGAAAACATAAAACACAATTTAGACACGGTCAAAACACAGGACAAAAGAGACAGCAACATGTTAACATAACATCCGTATCATCATCTCAATCAAAAACAAGTAAAAATATTGCAATTACAGGTATGACCCAAAGACGGACACATGGACCACTGTGTCGTCCCTCAGTGTCCCCCGGGACGCAGTGGGTGTTTGCCTGCTGGGGGACCGGCTCTATGCTGTGGGGGGGTACGACGGCCAGTCATATCTGAACACTGTCGAGTCCTATGATGCACAGAACAATGAGTGGACAGAGGTAATCCCAAAATCATCATGCTGTTACATAGCACAGTTTAAATATGATATTGACATTGTTTCATATTTAATAGAAAAATTGGGGATTTTTTACTTTTAAAATGGTTTAACTTTTTAAAGGAATTGCCGATTGTTTTTGCCAGAAATGGTTGCTAATAACATCAGTTTCCCGGCTAACCTAATAATAATAGTAATGCATGTGATTTATATATCGTATATCCTTTGGGAAAATAAATCAAGTTGTTGAATCCTATCAATATTCCTTAGCTTGCTTTGTGTTCCCACTCTTGCCTCTGTAACCCTCTTATCGGCATGAAGTATATGGGATTCTTTTTGAAGACGGCCTCAGATGGGAGGCTGCCTGTTAACCTCTCTGTCGTCCTGTAGGAGGTCCCTCTCAACATTGGCAGGGCAGGCGCCTGCGTGGTGGTGGTGAAATTGCCTTGAGCGTTTTGTCTCACGACATCATGGGAAACAAATGAGAAAGTAGCGAAGAAGAGTGGACAAACAAAACAGCGGATCAAGGACACATCCTTCGAGAGTCATGTTTTTTTCTTTTTCACTCGGCTTTCAACATTTTCAGAGGGAAACACAGACAGAGCCTTGCCCATAAACCATTGTTCCTATCATTAGTGGACATGCCTTCCCACTGGGGAGGACTTATTCAGAAACTGGAATGCAATGCACATTCTCCACATTCTCAACCGATCAAGAATTTTCAGACTTGGCTAAGCTGTAGCAAGTGCCAAGCCTTTGTTGTACTGTTTTGTTAGTTTTCTGAAATGTTCTGTGTATGTCCATTACATTTAATTTAGAAGTGACATATTGAGTAAATTAGCCATCTATACAGAGACTTTTCTTATCAGTGCCATCACATACAATATATTTTGGGCTTTATATTTCACTTTATAGCCACTCAATTGAAAGTTGTTATGATACATACATGTAACCAAGTACCTGTGTATTTCCTTAGTGAGTGGTCTGTACAGATTCTTACTCTTTAGCAAAGAAGACCACTGTGATGAGTTTGTCCAGACTGGTTTAAAGAACAGGAATGAAATCAAGCTTTTTGCTAAAATATATAACTGAACATTTTCTTTTTTATTGAGACTGTAGCTGCAGAACACCAAAGTAATTTGCTTGTCTTAGAGGTCTTGTTACACTTTAAAGAAAAGTTTACAAAATTGTAAATTACAGAAAATATATCATATTGATATTTCACACTGCTGTACAGATTTTTGTGAACTTTCTGAAACCACATGTGTTGTTAGAATCATGCCAAAACCAGTGCACTCTGCTGACCACCGATGTGATTATTATTGTTATTATTCTTTTTTATTTCTGGGCATGCTGGCTGAGCGAATGTTTGACTTGATTTATATAATATTATATATCAAGATCCTTGTCTGTTCTGCATTTTTAAGGATATGATGCCTTCGCGGTCATGTGGATGATCTTATAATTTATAACATACCCATTGGATTCATTTAGAAGAGAAAGCAGACTATGTCTAAGGGACAGCAGTTGCAACTAAACCAGCTATCTGAGTCTTATGTGCATTACTCAGAAACAAGATCTTACTTTTATGTCTTTACATATTTAGGTCCATAGTTTATTGCTCTATTCATAAAAGTATCAACAACGATAACTTTATCACAATAAGAACACTTTGTACCTGTGTTTGGGGCCGAATGTTAGTTTTTATCATCATTTTGTACAGCATGCAAACCTATAAATAAACTTTCTTCAGTCTTCTCTGCAAGTCAGATCCTTAGAGCTGAATGAGGCGCCTAGGCTGGGATATTTAAATGTCCCTTGCTCTGCTTTAAGTAAACTAAACAGATTTGGAAGCTGCTTTGATGTCGGCATTAACCTCAGTGTTCTTCTCATTGCAGCACCCACTTTTTAAATCATGCAAGCATGTTTGAGGTGCCGCTCGACAGACTGAGGACCAACTGTTATTGCTTGCGTTTGATTTTTTTCATTGTTTACCATCCAAATAGTTCACTCTGCCTCACCCTCCTCTCACTTGTTTGGTAAGATTTAAATTGTTTTTGCAGACACAATTTGGGCTTATATGTCCACAGCTGTTCTCGGAATACACCAAATATAACACTCCTTTATCTTTTATTTATTTTGAAGCAAAGCCCTTTTTGCACCATATATATCTCATTTGATGTGCAGATAAATCTCCTCTAACTTCTTATTTCTGTTTATCTGCATCTCCTGTCAGATCCTGTAATGGAGATCAATAAAGGATAATAGCTTTCTCCTTAGTTCACCTCTGGAGGGTATAATATAACCGAAAGCCCTACCATGTAGAATATGTATCTCCATATATCTCTGTCTAATTAATTCAGCATAATATAACGGCTGTAGTAACACAAGCCAACAGTGATGAAAATAGCTTTATTCAATTTGTCCCTGCAATGGATAACATTTTTGCACATTTGTAACCTTATATTATTTTCTTGGGAGGTCTCTCACTATTGCTAAATCCTACATATGTTATACTAAACTGCTTTGCAGACTCCGGTCAAGTTGCTACCCAATAGTTGGCAACTGCAGTTTAAAATGTGGTGAGAGTATGACACACTCTCCCAAAGTCAACATGTTGTCTGTTTCTGGGAATAAGGGCTGTAGTAAGAATGAGCTTTTTGCTGCTTTGACTCGTGTTAATTGACTTTTGCTTAATGGTTTGTAGGAATTTCTAAGTGATAAAATCACATTTACATTTAGAGGAAAGGTGGTGCTGTACTGATCTAGAGCTGGCTGAAGTTTGATATCAAAACCACATCTATCTTTAACATATTATTACCTAAACATTTTAGTATTTCAAATGATTAAATAAAACATATTGATTTATAAAAGTTTCCAAGTTTCTCTTTGAATTTCTTCATAAGAATTAAACATGCCGGCTTATTAATACGTATGTCCATTTATTGTACATTTCAGTCATCTTCAATTTTCTCACTGCACCTTTATCCAAGTATGCCATCTCAACACAGCCCAATTAGTTCATCCTTCCCTGCAAAGTGTATTCACAACCGAAAGCAGGCATTATCCAAAGATAAGTGAAGATACAATATCTGGTAACAAGGCCACATTTTATGATGATTCCATGTTTTCATGTTGAATGAACTTGAATATAAACGACTTTTCGTAAATAAGGTCCCTTCAACATTATTACAAAGGAAGAGATGGAGACAAAAACTGGAAATGAAATGTGGTTTTGTGTATCCAGTTTAAAACAAAAATAATGCAGAAAGTTGGAACCAGATGAGAGCTTTTAAGCGTGAAGGTCCCAGCACAAGTTTAGATTGTTAACTACTATTTAAGGTACTACAAACTAATGCAAACAAAGTATTGATATATGCATCCATCCATGATCGATGATGTAAGGGACAGTTTCGCTTAGTTCATTTGAGCAGTTTGAAGACACACTCATACTGTATGCTCCTTGATGGTGATGTAATAATATCCTACATTATCAAGAGAGGGTGCTGTTGCACTGCACAGAACACACCAAACCACACTTACCACCGCAAACAGCAAATCAAAGTTCTCCAATACCATCACTGTTCATAATACATGTCAACGGGCATTAAGAATGCCAAGGACAAATACTTGAGCTAATAACCCTGCATAATTATTAAGACATGATGATGAAATGTTGGGAAATTGGATGTTAAGGCGTCTCCTCTTACTTTCAAATGAGCATCATGCTGAGTTTTAAGGGAAGCACGGAGACTATACAAGCGAGATGAAGCCCGACTTGAGAGGTGTTTTGTCAGCTTTTAAAGGGATTTTCGGCATCACAAAAGTTTGATCAATCTCACATAATTGTGTGACAAATGTAGACAGATTGTTCTATTTTTAAGCTCAGCTCCTTGCCGTTTTGGGGGGATATTTTTTCAGGAGTAAGAGTGCAGCTCTGCCTTGTATTTTATTCTCTTTTGTGTGCCTGACAGTTAACAGAGATGGAAAGCGATGAGAGAACGCTGCAACAGCAGAGTGTGAGGATAGCAAACATTGTACCAAGAAGACACATCATATGTTCACCAGATTGCTTTCTTCCTATACATATTATATATATAAAGATAACAAGTTTTTATAAATAATAAAACATTGCATTGCAAAGATAACATGTTACAGATATTTGGATTGCACCAAACACATTTTCTTCTGCCAGATAAATGATAACGCTGCATAATTGTCTGCTGTCAAAATACTGTCTCAGAACTTCAGTGCAGATCAGTTGGCCTAATGCTCACTGAAGAATGTCTGACAAAAAAAGATTTGGATGGTTTATTTGTCAAAACACAATGTTCTAAGAAAGACTGAGAATATAAAAAAAACAGCATGCGAGGTATCGTCTCCACCATGGGGACAAAAGACAAGATGGATCCCTCTACAAGTGCCACAACAAACTGTCAACTTAGAATAAGATTGTCTCGTCAAGCCTGCTTAAATAAGCCTTAACATGGCACTTTTGACATCTTGCATTGGAGTGCCATGTCTGGCAAAATGTTGTGTTTTTTCTTCCCAGGTGACGGCAAATCTAAGTTACACTGTGACACATTTTTTCAAGCGAATGAATTCAGAAAGAGGCAAAGATTTTAACATATCACATGGGCAGCAGGACAGTAACCAGAGATGTGTGTTTCTGTTCGGTTAATAATCCAGATGTGCCTGAGAAATCCCCTGCTTGAGGAAACACAGTACAAACTATGGCCTTTCAGTGACACTGGCGGTGATAAAGTAGTTAGCCGCGCTTTCTTGAGTCCAGCACTAATACAAAGAATGACAGTTGCTTTTCTCGTCTGATCAAAGGCTGCAGACAAGTGCTGTAGAATGTTTCTCACCCGTTTCTCCCCCCTAAATCCTGTCTCTATCTAATGATAGTTGAATACATTGTCATCTCATTATCTTTGAAGAGGGGATGGATCCCTCCCGTATGAGTGGGCACTGTGTCTCTTGCCATCAGACGGGCTCTGAGATTGGTGAAGCGCATTCTGGTCTCATTATGTTGAGTGAGAGATATCAGACACATCCCATCTGCCTAACGCCTTCCGCACACATGCCACCATGCTTGAGTCATGCAAGCTGGTTGAGAAATACTGCAAGCAGTATCTGTAATTCTATAATTCAGCTGTGAGGCTTGAAATCTAAGCAGGTTAGGGTTACTGGTATTAAAAAAATCACTGCATGGTTACATATAACTTAGTATTAAGAGAATACAAAGGAGCAGGGAGGTTTTCTTTTCTCTGACAGTGGTAAATATCAAAGAGGCCATTACTCTTAAGACATGCGTCTAGCCTGCATCTCATATATCATTAATATTGCATTTCCATGTCGTTTTTTTCTGTAATGGTTTTAAACTAGTACACAAAACTAATTTACCCCCCGGCAACTGGCTGCAAGGTTTACTTTATAGTTCCTTCAGACAAATAAAAGGAGAATAGAATCTGCAGTCCCTTCCAATTTTCTAATTTGCAAAAACCCTCCGCGGGGTAAAGAAACAGCATAGATAGTGGGGGGGGGGGGGGATTCTGGATTCTGTACACACAGAATCACACAATCTGATGCAATGGCACCTTGAATTGCAACCGCAAAAATTATCTAAAATGAATATGATTAGCTTTATATATTGTAGCTTATTCATGCTTTTAGATTAACTTTTTTAATTTAGACATACAGTTAAATTCCATTCAGGAATAGTTTTGATTAGCATGACTTTTCTAATAAGAATGAATAGTGCTCAAAGCCAAAAGGCAACAATAACGTGTGACAGAAAGGCCAATTTGGTCCCAGTTTCTCTTCACTGGCTCTAACAGATGTCATGGGCAAATTGCCAAACATCTTATCGTGGACACAGTACAGTGAAACCACAACACTGATCTACATGAAGAATGTCAGATCAAAAATGAATCCAGCCATGGTTTTACCAGCTTTGAATTCATGCATGGGGAAGCCTGTCAGGGGCGAGAGATGATGTGGACACTGGCTCGCACTGTTTGTCAAGATTTTACATCCCTCCCCCTCGCTACTCGTTTGAAGCTAGTCGTCTGCTGTCTAGCAGCTTGCTGCCAATACGCCTGAGAATCTAGATTCAACATTTGTGGACTTCTTAAAAGAATGAATGCAATTAGACTGTTTTGTGGGTGTAAGCCTCCCTTTGCATACACCATGCAATCTATCATTTTAATGGGCATCAACGTTCCCAGGGAACACGCTTTAATTTGGTAACAACACTTGTCTATTCCTTTTTTTTACGTCTCTAATGCTGACAGTAAACTAGTGACCCATCAATAGATGTGTTCTTTCTCACAGCAAAAGTGCCTCTTTGGAAGGCTGGGTGGAATAGAGGAATACAGAAATAAAAGCAGACTTTTGGATGTTGAGCTTCAAATGATGTTTTGACATCAAATGGGATAATGAGGGGCCATCAAAACCGGAAGAAGATCACCTACGCAAACAGCCCAATTCTTTAAATAAAATGTGTTGCTTGTTTTTTGACTGATATCAAGACAACAAAGTTGCTTTTGTCCAACTCACTTTTAAATTCTTTGCAGCATCAATCATCTAGAAAGCATGATGTCCACTTCAATAACACAAGCTCTCGCTCCTCTGAACGACACACGCAATATACATTTTACTGCCTCTTTTTTCCGATAAATCTTTGCAATGGGAGGGAACAGCGTTGCTTGTGTGCCACTATTGTATCGGCTATGCCTCTTACCCCGCATGATCTTTCTCTCGGCACATTACTGCTGCCCCTGCAATGTCCGCTTTACGAATTGCCTCCAGAACTAAATCACTTCCTTTGTCAGACACGACTGCCTTTCTTTCCCAGACCCATTGCTTACTGCTATTGTTAGTGAAGATGAACAGCCGACGACAATTAAAGGTGTGGACCATTACTTCTGCTGAGAGGAAGGTTAGGCCTCATGCTTTGCAGCCTTGGGGAGAACATCGCCGTATCTACATCTGTCATCCACAGCCATAATGGAAAGCCTTGGAATGGATGAAGAGCCAACAAATGTCCACCGCTCGGCAGGCTTTGGGTCAGGTTTACGCTGCCCTGTCGGGAGGGCTGGATTGAGACAGGTTGAGAACATTATGGAAACAAAATTAAACTAAGGTAGAGAATTTAAGCCTACCGCAAATAAAGAAAACAGAAGCACACAGAAAGGCGGCAAATTTCCAGGGCTCACAACAATTGATAGATATTTCTTCTTATCAATGAACCTGTAAATTAGCTATAGCCAAAGATGTTTATTTAAAAAAGAGAAACATTCTTTACACACAGCCTTTTACTAGTTGCTAGCGTCTTAGGAAGTTTTTATCGATCACATTATTTTGTTTTTTAACTTTGTTAAGGGGTAACACAGTAGTGTAGGTTAACGTTTGGCTAAACAAACTGGCTTACTGGCTTAGAAAACACACATTATAAATTGTAAGTATTTAAATATTACTGGTAAACTAATATGAGATAATAAAGTCAATAGTTAGGCTATTGGTTAATTCTTTATATTGCTTTCTACTTGCTTATTCTGTCTATGTTAAGGCCTTAGTTTAGGAGAAACATTGTCCTCTTCCTCACAGTCTGTTTAAGGTAAGATTGCTTCACCATTATTCTGCCTAGTTGTTCTGTATAAAAGCTACAGACCTGGAATGATGGGAAATTGTTTCTCCAGCGCTAAGCCATCAGCGGAGGTAGTTACAGAGCCGCATCTATCTCCGCGTAAAAAGGCAACTGCACACACACACAACAATTATTTGTCACTCGGCATGCTATCTCAAATCAAAACAAGAGGGGTATTCTTTAAAGCAGTATTGCTAGATATTAAAGGGTGAAGCAGCT